ATCTTCTTGTTTGAGGAGCTGTTCACTTGAGACAGTTAAGCAAGTCCCAGCTGTGTCTGGGTACAAGTGACAGGATGAACAACCCAGCGGGTTTTCTTCCTATTGGGGAGTGTTGTACATTCTGCTATGGCGGTATGTTCACTCACAAGATGAGTGGCGCTGCCCAATAAACTCGCCCCTCGGGGCAAAATTTAAAATTTAATTTTTTTTTTTTTTTTTTTTTTTTGAGATATATACAAGAGTTGTTACATTCTTGTACAGCCACTAGTACGCGTAGCGTTTCGGGCAAGTCCTTAATCCTATGGTCCCTGGAATACGAACCCCTGCCGCGAAGAATCGTTTTTTCATCAAAGTACACATTTTACTGTTGCGTTAAACAGAGGCTACAGTTAAGGAATTGCGCCCAGTAAATCCTCCCCGGCCAGGATACGAACCCATGACATAGCGCTCGCGGAACGCCAGGCGAGTGTCTTACCACTACACCACGGAGACTGTTAATATTGCCTTTATTCGATCTGTTGTTGATTATTATGCCTTGCATCTTCTTAATTTTTCTCCTAAACAATTACAAGGCCTAGATGTAGTACAGAATGATGCCATGCGCATCATCCTGGGCTGTCCTAGAACTGTCAGAATTGTTAACATGAGAAAGGAACTAAACTTGCCTTCCATTTACGAAAGAATATTTCTACTTAGTACTACGTTTTGCGCCAAAACTTTGAAAAATAATGGTCCCCCAGCTCTATTCAAATTAAATTGAGATCCGTTCTAAACAATTCTGACTGTTCCCTCAAGCCGCCGCAAAAAGCTCCCTACAGTGTGTGGCTCAGTTGTTGTGCCTATAATCTTCAGAAACTGAATGTGTCTCTTAATCCTGATAAAACTGTTCACTATATTCCCCCGTGGAAAGATGTGCAGGTCTCTCTGCATTATACCCCCATCAGTGTAAAACAAATGTATAACACTGAAATTTTGAGATGAATAACATTAGAAGCTATTGACAGTCATCTTCAAATTCTCAAACCGACTGAATCCTATGCCTTTACTGATGGCTCTGTGCAGTTAGGCACTGGTAGAACAGGTTGTGCATGTGCAGTATATAAAGGGAATGAAATGATCATGACTAGTACACAGAGATTGAAGAACTGGGCAAGCATGACACAGACCGAGCTATTGGGTATTTATCTAGCCACTGAATACCTTAAGCTCAATGTTGATGGAGTTATTTTCTGTAACTCTAAAAGTGCTCTGCAGTTCTTAAATAACCCATCATAATGTATGTCGGAAGTAGCTTGTAATATTAAATGGAATGTAATTTTTGCCAATGATAATAACTCTTGTATAAAATTTGTGTGGATCCCATCACATGTTGGAAGTGGAAAACATCCCAATCATTATGGCCGAAGAGGAGGAGGACGAGGGAGAGAATCAGTAATAGCGAGAATCCGTCTTGGATACAAATATTCATGGAGATATGGAATGGAAACAACAGTTGATCAGCGAAGTTGCAGAATCTGTGGTGAGAGTGATGGACACCGCCTTGACCACTATCTACGTGAATGTGAACACCTGAGAGACATCAGAAGTATGTGTAGAATAATAAACCCCCACATTGTTTGAGTTAGGAAAACATTATTTGTCAAATATTGATACTGTTCTTAAAAGATTTCCCCATTTTGCACCCGCAAGATAACGTAAGGTTTTAAGGGTTGACAGATGTTAATCTTTTTGTTTGAGGAGCTGTTCACTTGAGACAGTTAAGCAAGTCCCAGCTGTGTCTGGGTACAAGTGACAGGATGAACAACCCAGCGGGTTTTCTTCCTATTGGGGAGTGTTGTACATTCTGCTATGGCGGTATGTTCACTCACAAGATGAGTGGCGCTGCCCAATAAACTCGCCCCTCGGGGCAAAATTTAAAAAAAAAATGACTTTGTAGATCGATTGACCAATGAGGCTTGCAGGAAAGAAAACATTGATTATGACTTTGGACTATCATTAGAAACATACAAATTAAAGAAATTAATTCAGATTTAGAAGAACTAAGAAATGCCCAGAGACCAGGAAAGCTGCAGTATTAAAGGCTATGACAAGTTTTGTAATAATAGGTATTTGTATGGTCAGCACAGTAACTGGACCAGGCAATGTGATGTAGTCATTGTGGTAATTCGCCTTGGCTATAGACACATCTGGCAGGTTAGTGAGGCTGAGCCACTACCAGAATACTCAGATTGTAAACTCTGTGATAAACCTTTAATGCACTCACTAGAACACTATATTGTTGAATGTGAAACCGTAAAGGACTTTAGACCTCCTGGCCTCTTGTACCACCAACTGTGTAACTATTTTATTGACTCAGGTGTTCTGGACGACATCCTAACAATTTATCCAACATTTGCTTCTCCATTTTAAAGAATGAAGAACAAAAGGCAGCGGCGGGGGCAGGCGGAGTGAGGGCAGAGCCCCTCTGTGCCCCCGTATTTATATGGCCCCAGACTGCCCGCGCAACGCCGCGGGACGCGCTGGCAAATGTTTCTTTCTCCCCCATCAGAAACATCCCCGCTTGCGAAGCAGTGGCCATTTTCTGATCAGGGGGAGAAAGATACTGGCAGTATGGGGCTTTAAATTTATTGAAGATTAAATTCTGCAGAACATGTAAATATATAAAGTTTCAAATATATAAAGTAAGTAAATATATAAAGTTTATATTAAAATATATAAAGTAAATATATAAAGTAAGAATTAACAGTAACAATTCCAAGTCCGAGGACTAGATTTAACTTAAAAGGTACACCCGTAGTAAGCATGAGACCTTAGCCTATAGTGACATGGAAACTAATTCTGCAGAAACCTAAAGGTTAACTGGTACTAGAATTAAGGCCGAGTGCAAATGGTTTCATTGCAAAGTTTCGAGTACTGCGGCGGTCGGGTGGAAGTGAGGGAGAGCCCCTCTCTGCCTCAGAATTTATATGGCCCCAGACTTCCCGCGCATCTGCGCGGGGCGCACTGCGCAACTGTTTCTTTGTCCCCCTCTTCAGAAACATCTCCGCTTTGTATTTCAAAGCAGAGGCCATATATTACTTCTAAGCTGCATCACTTATGAACCCATCCCTGCCCTTGTGTGGCAGTGCACAATAGAAAGTTGTTTTCACGTATCCATACATTAGAAATCCTCAGATTAGGCAAAATTGTAATTAATTTTGTAATAAAGATGTTAATAAGTCCTTTGTGCAGGACCTGTCACGTGCCTTCTGGCAGTCTTGCCTGTCTGTGTCTCACTAGTTACCGTACCTGTGTCTGTGTCTCACTAGTCATCGTACCTGTGTGTGTCTCACTAGTCATCGTACCTGTGTGTGTGTCTCACTAGTCATCGTACCTGTGTGTGTCTCACTAGTCATCGTACCTGTGTGTCTCACTAGTCATCGTACCTGTGTGTGTGTCTCACTAGTCATCGTACCTGTGTGTGTGTCTCACTAGTCATCGTACCTGTGTGTGTCTCACTAGTCATCGTACCTGTGTGTCTCACTAGTCATCGTACCTGTGTGTGTGTCTCACTAGTCATCGTACCTGTGTGTGTGTCTCACTAGTCATCGTACCTGTGTGTGTGTCTCACTAGTCATCGTACCTGTGTGTGTGTCTCACTAGTCATCGTACCTGTGTGTCTCACTAGTCATCGTACCTGTGTGTCTCACTAGTCATCGTACCTGTGTGTGTGTCTCACTAGTCATCGTACCTGTGTGTCTCACTAGTCATCGTACCTGTGTGTGTGTGTCTCACTAATCATCGTACCTGTGTGTCTCACTAGTCATCGTACCTGTGTGTGTGTCTCATTAGTCATCATAGTATACCTGGTTGATGGGGTTCTGGGAGTTCTTCTACTCCCCAAGCCCGGCCCGAGGCCAGGCTCGACTTGTGAGAGTTTGGTCCACCAGGCTGTTGCTTGGGGCGGCCCGCAGGCCTACATACCCATCACAGCCCGGTTGGTCCGGCACTCCTTGGAAAAAACTATCTAGTTTTCTCTTGAAGATGTCCACGGTTGTTCCGGCAATATTTCTTATAGTCGCTGGGAGGACGTTGAACAACCGCGGACCTCTGATGTTTATACAGTGTTCTCTGATTGTGCCTATGGCACCTCTGCTCTTCACTGGTTCAATCTTGTATTTTCTTCCATATAATTCACTCCAGTAATTTAGATGCTTTATCTCGTCTATGCGTGTCGTATATGTTCTCTGTATTCCCTCTATTTCAGCAATCTCTCCTGCTCTGAAGGGGGAAGTGAGTACTGAGCAGTACTCAAGACGGGACAACACAAGTGACTTGAAGAGTACAACCATTGTGATGGATTTAAAAGTTCTCGTAATCCATCCTATCATTTTTCTGGCTGACGCAATACTTGCTTGGTTATGCTCCCTAAACGTTAGGTCGTCAGACATCATTATTCCCAAATCCTTGACATGTTGCCTTTCTACTATTGGAAGATTCGATTGTGTTTTCTACCCTATATTATGTTTAAGGTTCTCATTTTTACCGTACCTGACTACTTAGAATTTAGGTATAGTAAAAATGAGAACGAGGAGTAATGAGAGTCGCTAGGGACGGAGGGATGAAGACACACACAACAATACACCAGCTCCTTCACGCCAGCCTCCCCAGCGTCAAGAAACTGTCGCACTATAGTGCCCTTATCCTAACCCACCAGACCACCCAATAACAGAAAACGTAACATTAAGTCAACTTTGCGAGCCGCTACCATTGTCTAGTACGACACAGGTAAAGTATAGGTCAAAATGGGACGCGGTATTAGGAGGCCGAGTTGCAATACAGATCAACACATATACAAGATTATATATATATATAATATATATATATATATATATATATATATATATATATATATATATATATATATATATATATATATATATATACATACACACTTGCCAGGAAGGTTGGCAATATAATTTTGGGAGGCGGGAGGGTGCAAGAGAAGGGTAAACACTCACCTTGTTGGTTGTTGGGGAAGTGATGGTGAGGCATAGCGGCGGTGAAGGTGAGGGCCCCCGCCAACACCCGCGCCAACACCCACACCAACACCTGCATGGCTCCCCCGCCCAAGGCAGCCACCATAAACACACGCACTAACAACTTCCTCCAAGCACAAGGCACCAATGTTTCTACTGTGTGTTTAGTACTGTTGTTCACATGTTGGCACTCGTGGTGTGGGGTCACAGTGTGGGGTCACGCAGTGTGGGGTCACTCAGTGTGGGGTCACGCAGTGTGGGGTCACGCAGTGTGGGGTCACTCAGTGCGGGGGGTGCAGTGTGGGGTCACGCAGTGTGGGGTCACGCAGTGTGGGGTCACGCAGTGTGGGGTCACTCAGTGTGGGGTCACGCAGTGCGGGGTCACGCAGTGCGGGGTCACGCAGTGCGGGGTCACGCAGTGTGGGGTCACTCAGTGCGGGGTCACGCAGTGTGGGGTCACTCAGTGCGGGGTCACGCAGTGTGGGGTCACGCAGTGCGGGGTCACGCAGTGCGGGGTCACGCAGTGCGGGGTCACGCAGTGCGGGGTCACGCAGTGCGGGGTCACGCAGTGTGGGGTCACGCAGTGTGGGGTCACTCAGTGTGGGGTCACGCAGTGTGGGGTCACGCAGTGTGGGGTCACGCAGTGTGGGGTCACTCAGTGTGGGGTCACTCAGTGTGGGGTCACTCAGTGTAGGGTCACGCAGTGTGGGGTCACTCAGTGCGGGGGGTCAGTGTGGGGTCACTCAGTGTGGGGTCACTCAGTGTGGGGTCACGCAGTGTGGGGGGGTCAGTGTGGGGTCACGCAGCGATCCTGGACCACACAGACTGGCGGCTTCACTGCGTGTTTTATGATATAAATTTTTCCGTGTTTATAATTTGTCAACATCTACACAATCAATACAAACTTTTACTTTTCCATCTAAAATTTGGCTTTAGTTTAGAGAGCGGGTGTAGACGAGGGTGGTGCAGGCCCTGGGCAGCGATGCCCAGCTGGGTATACCGCCCCGACGCTGCCCGCTACCCAACACACTGTAATTAATGCTTGCCAACGTTCACACTTTGTTTTCACCATAAATATACACGTTTGTTCGTTCCGTTTGTTTCTGAGTGACTTGAGCCTATCGTGTGGGTGGGTGGTGTGGGCGGCGGCGAGGTGGGTGGGTGGTGTGGGCGGCGGCGAGGTGGGTGGGTGGTGTGGGCGGCGGGGGGGAGGCGTGAGGTTACTGGCAGGTTGAGAGGTGGTGGTGGTGGGCGGCACACATCTTTCCAACGAGTATTGAACGTTTAATATAATCCTCTAAATATTTGCAATTTAATTAATTTTCAATATAAAATTAAATGACACTTGTTTGTACTCCAAGATGAAGACTATTGAGCTCTTGGAGCAGTGGCACGTGACGGCACGTGGTGGTGGAGGGCACGTGGTGGTGGAGGGCACGTGGTGGTGGAGGGCACGTGCTCAAGTAAGGCCTAGTACTCTTCCCTATGGTGCGAGTACCTTGTCACATATGGGTACTAACATGTGGCTGGAGGGGTCCTCCTCCATGACGTGTTGACCACCAGTACAAGGACCACTGTCCTTACACTCTCCACTCCTCTCTTTCCTCCCTCACGTCTCAACTATTTCCTCTAGTTCTACTGTCTCTAAGCTTAAATAAGCTGTCCTTGTCCACCTTGAGGCGCGGAGGGTCGTCCGCTGCTCGCTCTACACAGTGGCCGCTGCTCACCTCCTCCTCTCATCCACCGCAGGAAGGCCGCACCACAAATTCATTGTTGATTTATTTAGAACCACGCAGGGGTGGCCCAGGGTGACGCAGGGGTGGCCCAGGGTGACGCAGGGGTGGCCCAGGGTGACGCAGGGGTGGCCCAGGGTGACGCAGGGGTGGCCCAGGGTGACGCAGGGGTGGCCCAGGGTGACGCAGGGGTGGCCCAGGGTGACGCAGGGGTGGCCCAGGCGCAGGGGTGGCCCAGGGTGACGCAGGGGTGGCCCAGGGTGACGCAGGGGTGAGGGTGACGCAGGGGTAGGCTGACGCAGGGGTGGCCCAGGCGACGCAGGGTGGCCCAGGCTGACGCAGGGGTGGCCCAACGCAGGGGTGGCCCAGGGTGACGTAGCGTGACGCAGGGTGTGGTCAACGGTAGCCAAGAGCGGTGCCAAGAGTGTGGAGGAGAGAGGAAGTGTGAAGAAGCAAGCGTCCAGTGAGGGCGCCTCACAGGGAACAAGGCAGCACTCCGCCCACCAGCCTCGCCCAAGGAACACTGACACCGTCAAAACACCGACTATTACTCACCCTGCTATGAAAGGCGGGTTGCCAACCCCACGATAGTTGCCACATTTATCCCACCTTCCTATCCCTACACCCCATCTGGCCACCAGTCCCCACGGCTAGGCAGGACGCCATCCTCCACACCTCATACGGTACAAGTTGTATCAATTATTTAAGTCCGCAACTCATTATTCGTACAAGTTAAATTTCGTCAGACGATTTTAGCGTGCGACTACTGGCCAGACAGGAGGGAACCCCAGACCAGCAGCGACATCTGTAGCCGGCGACCCGCGACTGTGACGTCACACAACGCCACAGGGGAACCTGATTGGCCAGTCGGGAAGCTACAAGTGTGACGTCACAGATAAACAGGTACCCCATTGGATAAATCGAAAGGTATCTAATATGTAGTAACGAATAACAGGTCCCTATTGGCTGGAGATGTGAAGTTATGACGCCACGGATCAGGCGATAATATAAACATGCCGTCACATCACTTCCCTTAGAGTGATGTGAGAGATTACCAGCCCCAAGTTATCTCATCTTAGTTGTATTTAGGCCTCTCATTATCTTAATTACGAACGTCGTCTGCTTCCTGAGTGTATGACATTACTTCCGCTTTCATTCTCAACTCTGGTTCAAGCAGGCGCACGTGCGCATACTCACGCACTCAGCACTATGCACGTGCACAGCACTATACACACAAACACACTACTATACACACACACACATTACTATACACACACACACATTACTATACACACACACACATTACTATACACACGCACACAGCACTATACACACAAACACACTACTATACACACACACACATTACTATACACACACACACACAGCACTATACACACGCACACAGCACTATACACACGCACACAGCACTATACACACACACACATTACTATACACACACACATTACTATACACACGCACGCACACAGCACTATACACACAAACACATCACTATGCACACACACACATCACTATGCACACACACATACACACACACACATCACTATGCACACACACATACACACACACACATCACTATGCACACACACATACACACACACACATCACTATGCACACACACATACACACACACACAACACTATACCCACACACACAGCCCAATACCCACACACACAGCACTATACCCACACAGACAGCACTATACACACACACACACACACACACAGCACTACACACACACACACACACACACACACACACACACACACACACACACACACACACACACACACACACACACACACACACACACACACACACACAGCACTATTCACACACATAGAATGAAATGCAAGCATAGAATGCATTAGGAAGTGATGTGGTGGAGGCTGACGCCATACACAGTTTCAAGTGTAGATATGATAGAGCCCAGTAGGCTCAGGAATCTGTACACCAGTTGATTGACAGTTGAGAGGCGGGACCAAGGAGCCAAAGCTCAACCCCCGCAAGCACAAATAGGTAAGTACACACAGCACTATACTCACACACTCTGAGAGAGAACTATCAACATCAGAGGCCCGAGACTGTTATACGCTTATAAAACACATAAGGGGCGTAACTGGCCGACCCCTCACAGTGTTCGTGAGATAAATGGATAAGTATCTCCAAAGGATCCCTGATCAACCAGGCTGTGATTCGTACGTCAGGCTGCGAGCAGCCGCGTCCAACAGCCTGATTGACCAATCCAGCAACCAGGAGGCCTGGTCGACGACCGGGCCGCGGGGACGCTAAGCCCCGGGAACATCTCAAGGTAACCTCAAGGTAAGGTATACCCACACACACAGGACTATACCCACACACACAGCACTATACCCACACACACAGCACTATACCCACACACACAGCACAATACCCACACACACACAGCACTATACCCACACACACACACACACAACACCATACCCACACACACACACAGCACTATACCCACACACACAGCACTATACCCACACACACACAGCACTATACCCACACACACAGCACTATACCCACACACACAGCACTATACCCACACACACACAGCACTATACCCACACACACAGCACTATACCCACACACACAGCACTATACCCACACACACACACACAGCACTATACCCACACACACACACACAGCACTATACCCACACACACACACACAGCACTATACCCACACACACACACAGCACTATACCCCACACACACAGCACTATACCCACACACACACACAGCACTATACCCACACACACACACAACACTATACCCACACACACACAGCACTATACCCACATACACACACAGCACTATACCCCACACACACACAGCACTATACCCACACACACACACACAGCACTATACCCACACACACACACAACACTATACCCACACACACACACACAGCACTATACTCACACACACACACACAGCACTATACTCACACACACACACACAGCACTATACCCACACACACACAACACTATACCCACACACACACAGCACTATACCCACACACACACACACAGCACTATACCCACACACACACACACACAGCACTATACCCCCACACACACACAGCACTATACCCACACACACACACACACACTATACCCCCACACACACACACAGCACCCACACCACACACACACACACACACACACTATACCCACACACACACACACAGCACTATACCCACACACACACACATACACAGCACACACAGCCACACACACACACACAACACTATACCCACACACACACACAGCACTATACCCACACACACACACAGCACTATACCCCACACACACACAGCACTATACCCACACACACACACACACACACAACACTATACCCACACACACACACAGCACTATACCCACACACACACACACACAGCATTATACCCACACACACACACAGCACTATACCCACACACACACACACAGCACTATACCCCACACACACACAGCACTATACCCACACACACACACACAGCACTATACCCACACACACACACAGCACTATACACACACACACACACACAGCACTATACCCACACACACACACAGCACTATACCCCACACACACACAGCACTATACCCACACACACACACACACACAGCACTATACCCACACACACACACACAGCACTATACACACACACACACAGCACTATACCCACACACACACAGCACTATACCCACACACACACACAGCACTATACCCACACACACACACAGCACTATACCCACACACACACAGCACTATACCCACACACACACAGCACTATACCCACACACACACACAGCACTATACCCACACACACACACAGCACTATACCCACACACACACACAGCACTATACCCCCACTATGCTATACTTTCAATCATGGATTGATAGACTGGGAGAATGGGGACCCACATGGTGGTGCAGATACGTGGAGAGCTAAACTCTTGGAAGTGGCAACAAGGAACTTTCTGAGCCAGCATGTCAGGGAACCCACAAGAGTGAGAGGCAATGATGAACCAGCTAGACTCGACCTGATATTCACTTTGAATGAGTCAGAGATAAAGGAAATGAAATCTGAAGCCCCTGATAGGAATGAATGACCACAGTGTATTGACATTTGAGTATCTGGTGGAGGTAGGGATAACCTATCCAAGGATGGGATCGGAAGGGAAAAGACTAAATTATCGAAGAGAAAAATATGACGAGATGAGGAACTTCCTAATGGGAATACCATGGGAAACAGAACTCGGAGAAAAGGCTGTACAGGATATGATGGAATATGTCAGCCAGAAGTGCCAGGAAGCTGCAGACAGGTTTTTCAGGGGATAAAGGAGGGGAAAAGCTGAGAAGGGCAGTTTACCTTGGGCAGTCCACGAACCCTTAGCATGTGGTCCTGCAAGAAGACTAGGTAGCTGCCGTCGGTCAAGAGCAGTGTGTGTTAGCTGCTGGTATATCCAGTGTTGGCGAGGATCGGCGTACCCGGGATTGCCTAATAAGTGTTAAGGAAGACAGTGATGTGTCTATTTATGAAGTGCTGCTAGCAAGCTGCTAGAGGCTTCTGCCAGGGTGTTAGCTACCCGTGTTTGTATATTAGCTTGAGGCCCCTGTCAGCGTGTTGCTGAAGCCAGTGAGTATCTGGAGAGCGAAGGAGGGGTGTAGACACATCGTGATACTGTGTGGGTGGACTGGCCCAAGCAGAAGGTGAACTTGCCAGTGTTGGCCAGTGGACAACGTGTACCTGGGATGTGGGTTCACTGGGCTTGACGAAAAATGTAGTCGAGTTGTGCCCTGAGTGAAAGAGGCATTTTTGTACATACATGTAGTAATAATCTATTATAGTGTAAATATATTGGTGATGGGAATTGTGTCTGGCTTTCCCCCCCCCCCTTATTTATGCATTGCACTACTGCCAATTCTTGAAAGCTTACTACCGACTTGGGGTCGGATATAGAACAAGACGTCATAACATGGAAAACCCAGTTACGGGCCCACCATAACACATACACCAAATAATATTAGTGTTATTCTTGTAACATAATTGTTACGGACTCGTCACCCTTGTCAGGGGGGGTAGAGTAGCAGTTCCAACGCCATCTAAGAGTCCGCACCCCGAACTCCCCGGGAACAGTACGCAATACAGACAATGCCATCTGAT